TTCGTGGGCCAGAAGAACTCCTTCACCGTGGACTGCAGCAAAGCAGGCAGGTGGAGGGGGAGGGCGTCTTCTGGGGTGGGAGCAAGAAGCCGTCTGGGAGCAGGGTGTGGGTCCCCGTCGGGGGCTCCCTGGTGTGAGCCCGGCCCTCTGCCTCCCTCTCCAGGCACCAACATGATGATGGTGGGTGTGCACGGGCCCAAGACCCCCTGTGAGGAGGTGTACGTGAAGCACATGGGGAACCGGGTGTACAACGTCACCTACACCGTCAAGGAGAAAGGGGACTATATCCTCATTGTCAAGTGGGGCGAAGAAAGTGTCCCTGGAAGCCCCTTCAAAGTCAAGGTCCCTTGAATCCCAGAAGTGCCTCCCCAGCTTTGGCCCCAACCTCCAGCCAAACACACCACACACACACACACACACACACACACACACACACACACGCCACACCCAGACACACGCATGGAATCAGACACTACAAACACCTGCCTTGGGGGTGAAGGCACAGCCTCCCCCCACACCGTGCCCCGGGGGTTGGAGGGCCTTGTCTGTTTCAGGACGGTGTCCCTCCCCGGGAATGTGACATGAGGGCAGACTGGGGCCAGGCTCAGAGACAGAGGCTGGGGCACAAGTGGGCTGAAGCCCTGAGTTTTCTGGCAGGGCTGAGCAGTCGGGGAGCATTGTATTGGGGGTGTCTGTGTGTGAGAGGTCACCCTCAAACTGCACTGCTGGCCAATCACCCTCCTGCCTCTGAGGACTTGGTCTGATCCCTCTGGTGGCTACAACCCCAGAGTTTTAAGGACTTGGAAAGGAAAATACAATCAGAGAAGAAAGACCCTGAAGCACCGCAGTGGCTTGGCACGGGGACTGGCTGAGTGGTGTGCACTCCGCCCAGGCCAGGCTTCCTGGGGGCCTGATTTCTCTCTCGCTGTCTCTTTTTTTAAAACGGTTGCACGTCTCTGCCCCATGGGGGGCCTTTTTTACACACTGCGAGGCCCAGCTTTGTAGGGGAACTTTTGCACATGTCATGCGGCTCAGCTGGGAGCCGCTTAGGTGGAAAACTCCAAATAAAGTGCGGCTGTCGCAGACACTTGGCTGTTCTTTGCGGGCTGCCCTCTGGCCAGCCACACGAAAAACCCAACCCTGGGGAGGCAGAGGCGACCTGGCTGTTCCCTGGAAGACTGACCCCAATCGAGGGGACGGTCCTGGGGCAGAAGTGAGGTCTGGGATGTTGGCAGATCGCTTGAAAGAAGCAGAAGCGGGGGCTCGTGGGAAGGGGTCCCAGCGGGAGGGTTTGTGGACAGTACAGGGTGTGGACACTGTTCTACAGTACTGCCCCAGGGCCCCTGGAAGGCCAGTTTCAGTTCAGCCTGACCTCGAGGATGTTTTTCAAATTAAGACCTTAAAACTGAGCTCTGACTCAAACAGGAACATTCCTCAACCAGTAGGCAGGCAGAACCACGGCAGACCCCGGCACCTTCCCTCCAGCTGGTTCCTGAATCAACTTGGGCTATTCTGGTTCCTGAATCAACTTGGGCTATTCCGTGACCCGCTCCAGCACTGAGCTCGCACAGGGCCTCCCTCCTGAACTCCTGCCCTGGCCAGCTCCCTCCAACCTCCCCTCCCTGCTGCAGCTTGAGCGGGGTGGTCACTTTAAAGAGAGTTTGCCTGTCTCTGGTTTAGGGCCCTCTGTGGCTCCCTCCTGCTCCAGAGTAAAGTCTCTTCCTGACAAGGTCTCCAGGTTCAGACAGCAGCCTCTCCATCTGTATGAGCTGGGCAGCAAGCCCATTCCCCATTGTGCCCTCCACCTCCAACCCGCCTTCACAACCTCTAGTTAACTGGGCACCTATGCTGTAATTTGGGCCCCTGCCCAGAAACACCCTTGCCTCCCCACCCTCTTCATCTTCCTGGCCAACAGGAAGTTTTCCTGGACCCCTCCCTGCCCCTCCTGGATCAGTGCCCCCAGCTCCCAAACCGCCCTGGGACACATCTCTAGCTGCATTTACGACCCTGAACTGTGGCCACATATCCAGGGCTCTCCCACCAGACTGAGCTCCCTGGCCCTGGGTGTGAATGAATGAGTGAATGTGTATGAATGAATAAGTACATGAGCAGCTGAGCAGCTGCAGCAGGGCGAAGACTTTCATTCAACTGATCCCACAACTCGACCCACCTGGGCATTTCAGCACACGGTGGTGAGCCTAGCAGAAAAACCCACAAGGCCCCAACTCCTAATCCCTGACCTCCATACCTCTTCATTCAACAGCCTCTCTGCTTCCTCCCTCCTTCACACCCTCCCACACACCCCTCCTCCCTCACTGCTCTCCCTCCCCTTCACCCCTAGATGTGCTACTTTCCAGCTGGCCCCCTCAGCTTGGGCTGCCTCCACCTGTGTGTGGTTCATATGCTCACACACCTTGAGCCTGTCTGCTTCCAGGCAGCCAGTGTGGCCCTGGGTGCTAGCACTTACAGGCCCTTCCTCATTAATCCTAACTCATAACAGCCCTGTGAGGTGGGGCTACTACCATCTTAAGAAACCAAGGCCCTGGGAATGTCAGTGATAAGTCCAAAACCATACCTCTAAGTAGTGGGGCAGAGATTGAAACCCAGATGTGCCCAAATCCCAAGCTTATCACACATGCAATCGCTGCACCAGACCACCTGCACGCCTCAAGCACTCCGAACTCACAAACCCCATGCCAGACACTGGGAGTACCGGTTTGTTAAAAGGGAGGAGGAGCCAGGCGCGGTGGCTCAGGCCTGTAATCCCAGCACTTTGGGAGGCTGAGGCGGTCAGATCATCTAAGGTTGGGGGTTTGAGATCAGCCAGACCAACATGGAGAAAACCCATCTCTACTACAAATACAAAAAATTAGCCGAGTGTGGTGGTGCACGCCTGTAATCCCAGCTACTCAGGAGGGTGAGGCAGGAGAATCACTTGAACCTGGGAGGCGTTTTGAAACTTCATCTCAAAAAAAAATAATAATAATAAGGGAGGAGGAAAGAGTGGCCCCTTCCTCTTCAGCCTGCTCATCTCACAGAGGTCACTTTCCCTGGAATGTTACTCCCATCCATGTGCTACACAGGCCAGAAACCTGTAAGTCACCCAGGTCTCTCTACCTGACTCCCCAAACACATCCACTATGAAACCAGTTTTGTCCTAGGTATCTAAGTATCTCTCAGCTCTCTCAGCTCTACCTACTTCTCTGCATTTCCCTTATTACTACCTGAGTCTGGCCATCATCTCTCACAATGGCTCCCAATTTGGTTCCTCCTCCCTCAGTTTCATCTCTGCACACAGCACAGTCACAGTGACTGACAGCTGTAAAACATATTTGGCGATAGCACTCTCTTGCTTGAAATCCCTCAGCAGCTTCAGAATAACTCTGTCCTCAGGAGAACTTCCAGATCCTTTTTTTTTTTTTTTAAAGACAGTCTTGCTCTGTCACCCAGGATGGAGTGCAGTGACACCATCTCAGCTTACTGCAACCTCCCTTGCCCGGTTTCAAGCGATTGTCCTGTCTCAGCCTCCCACGTAGCTGGGACTACAGGTGCATACCACCTCACCGGGCTAATTTTTTTGGTATTTTTAGTGGAGCTGGGGTTTCGCCATGTTGGCCAGGCTGGTCTGAAACTCCTGACTTCAGGTGATCTGCCCACCTCAGCCTCCCAAGGTGTGGGATTATAGACGTGAGCCACCACGTCTGGGCTGCAGATCCCCCCCCCCCACCTTTTTTTTTGAGATAGGATCTTGCTCTGCCGCTCAGGCTTAAGTGCAGTGCCCTGATCATAGTTCACTGTAAACTTGAACTCCTGGGTTCACGCTACCTCAGCCTCTCAAGTAGCTAGAATTACAAGTGTGCACCATCATGCCTGGCTAATTTTTTTTTTTTTTTTTTTTTTTTTTTTTTTTAAACAGACTCTTGCTCTGTCACCCAGTCTGGAGTGCAATGTCGCAATCTAGGCTCACTGCAACCTCCACCTCCTGTGTTCAAGCAATTCTCCTGCCTCAGCCTCCCAAGTAGCTGGGATTAGAGGCACCCGCAACCACTCCTGGCTAATTTTTTGTATTTTTAATAGAGATGGGGTTTTGTCATGTTGGCCAGGGTAGTCTCAAACTCCTGACCTCAGGTGATCCACCCGCCTCAGCCTCCCAAAGTACTGGGATTACAGGCATGAGCCACCCCACATGGCTAGCCCACCTGGCTAATTTTTAAAATGTTTTGTAGAGACAGAGTCTCACTATGTTGCCCAGGCGGGTCTCCAACTCCTGAGCTCAAGTGATCCTCCCCCATCTCGGGAGCACTCCCAAAGTGCTGGGATTACAAGTGAGGCACCATGCCCGGCCTTACCAATTCTTTAACTTTCCGTGAAGGCCCTATGCTCTCTAGACAGTACGCCTTTGCATATACTGTTCCTTTGCCTAGAACACCCTCTTGTCCTCATTTTTTATCCCCTTCATCCTGCAGGTCCTTCAGGTCTCAGCTTAGATGTGAAGCAAGCTTCTGGGGGAAGGGTTCTTTGGACGCCCTCTCTCTCCATGGGTTAGTTACCATGGATGTGCGCTTCCATATACTTCTCACATTCTAACAATTAACACACAGCTTTGTAATCACCTGTTCCCTTGACTTTCCACCTCACTAGACAGTATCATCATTAACTTCTTCATTCCTTTAACTGAACAGATGTGTATGAGTTGTTAACTATGTGTCATACATACATACAGGATAAAGACCCAGACCCTGCCCTTGAGAACAGTAACTGCGTCTCTTCTCTGGGGTCTCGGCGTTTAACAGTGCCAGGTTCAAAGCGCTTGTTTAACGAATGAACCAAGGAAGGAGTGAACGAACGAATGAATTCCTGCGAAGGGCGTCGTGCCGCGCAGCCTTCTGGGAATCGTAGTCCCCTGGTTCGGGCCTGTCTTTACGGCGCAGGCGTATTCACATTGAGGCCGTGTTGCTGTTAATGCGCATGTCCCGGGAGGCGGCTGGGAGAATTGCGCATGCCCGAAGGGGGTGGTGAGGCAGACAGGGAGCCGCACGGCGGAGGCGGGGCTTCGGTGGCTTCTGGTGCTCTGGGGTGATCTCTGCCCGGCTGCGGGGATGGCGGGAAGGGGGAAGCTCATCGCAGTGATCGGAGACGAGGACACGGTGACTGGTTTCCTGCTGGGCGGCATAGGGGAGCTTAACAAGAATCGCCACCCCAATTTCCTGGTGGTGGAGAAGGATACGACCATCAATGAGATCGAAGACACTTTCCGGTACGGTAGTCCGCGAGGCCTGAATGGGCCCTTCTGCTGCCGGATGGAGTGCGGGGCGAGGGCGGAGGTGGCCCGGGGACCGAGGCGTGAGGCCTGGACGAGGGTAAGGGGACGGTCTTGGAAGTCCGCCCGCCCTTCCGGAGCGGAGGCCTCCGCGCCCCAAGTTCCCGTTTGGGACTCGGTGGGACCGAAGCTGTATCAGGTCCACGAGCTCCCCTCTCACATGATCGTGTGTCAGGAAAGAAGGGGAACAGAGCTCGTGACGGGCACCGCCCGTCAGCACAACCTGTCCCCGTCCATGGCTGAGCGTTCAGAGCGCCCAGTCCCCGGCGACTGCCAGCCTGGACGCCTGTTCCCAAGTAGGGCTCGGCCCTTTTGCGGGTTGCCCCCCTAAAGGAACCGCATCCCTGATGAGCACCTAGGCAGTGGGTTCGGACTTTGTTCTGCTTTCCCCTCCTTTAGAGGCTTACCATCGACCTGTAAGGCAGGGGTGATTTTGTACTGCTTACAGGTGAGAAAACTAAAGCTCGAAGAGGTTAAGGCACACACCAAAGTCACGAGTCGGCAGAGGCAGAACTGGAATTTGAACCCAATCCCAACCCTTTCTGCCTCTGGTAAGCCAGGTACACACTCTGCAGCTCTCCCCAGTCGGCCTCGGAATTTCTCTTTGGTGCTGAGCACAGTAGGCAGAAAATATCAGGGCCATGAGAGCCTTCTGCTAAAACTTGCACTCAAGCCCTCCCTGCCTTAGGTCAGGCATGCCTAAGTGTCGTCGAAGGCATGCCTTTAATCCACCTGGTGTCCTGGTGTCTGGAATTGAGGATACCAGCCGCCTCCTATTCTTTCCCTCACCTCATCTCCAGGGCCCCTGTACCTTGCCACTCACCTGTTTCCATCTAAACAGCCCAGCCCAGAGCTGCCGGCTGAGACCTGTTCTTGCTGCCTGGTGTATGGTAGGCCCTGACCTGGCAGGCTGTTATCTGCTGATCTCTAAGCTGTCTGGTAAAGTGACCCAAGTTGTCATGGGAGAAGGACAAATTTTACTTCAAGAATTTTCCATGTTTCCAACCAAAAGGGACCTCAGAGAACAAATCTAACCCAGTGACTGGCAGGGGGTGGGTGCTCAGTAAATAATTTTTAACGAGTAAATAAACAAATGAGGCTGGTGTGGTGGCTCAGACTTGTAATCCCAGCACTTTTGGAGGCCTAAGTGAGTGGATCACTTGAGGTCGGGAGTTTGAGACCAGCCTGACTATTAAGGTAAACCCCGTTTCTACTAAAAATACAAAAATTAGCCAGGCGTGATGGCAGGTGTCTGTAATCCCAGCTACTCAGGAGACTGAGGCAGGAGAATCGCTTGAACCCGGGAGGTGGAGGTTGCAGTGAGCAGAGATCGCACCACTGCACTCTGGCCTGGGTGACAGAGGGAGACCTACCTCAAAAAAATAAAATAGGCCGGGCGCGGTGGCTCAAGCCTGTAATCCCAGGACTTTGGGAGGCCGAGGCGGGTGGATCACGAGGTCGACAGATCGAGACCATCCTGGTCAACATGGTGAAACCCCGTCTCTACTAAAAATACAAAAAAATTAGCTGGGCATGGTGGTGCGTGCCTGTAATCCCAGCTACTCAGGAGGCTGAGGCAGGAGAATTGCCTGAACCCAGGAGGCGGAGGTTGCGGTGAGCCGAGATCGCGCCATTGCACTCCAGCCTGGGTAACAAGAGCGAAACTCCGCCTAAAAAATAAAAATAAAAAAATAAAAATAAAAATAAAAATAAAATAAAATAAAATAAATGAATGAATGGGTGGGTGATCACAGGAGACTAGGATCACAAGGCCAGGTTATTTTTGTGGAGAAAGTGTGATTCCCTCATCATTGAGTGTCCTCTTCCTAGCTTGTGATCTTGGTTCATGCCAGACTTTCCCTTGGACTCCATCACCCTCATCATCTGGATCTTGAGGCCTTCAGTAGTCTCATCAAACCTAGTTTTAAAAAATTTAGTTTTTTCCATGGCCTTGTTTATTTAAAAAAAAAAAGTTTGTTTTCTTTTTAAAAATTAATGTGTCTTCTGTTTATTGTTTTTGTTTTTCGAGATGGAGTCTTGCACTGTCACCCAGGCCGGAGTGCAATGGTGCCATCTCGGCTCACTGCAACCTCTGCCTCCTCGGTTCATGTGATTCTCCTGCCTCAGCCTCCCGAGTAGTTGGGATTACAGGCGCACACCACCACACCTGGCTAATTTTTTTTGTATTTTTAGAGAGATGGGGTTTCACTGTGTTGGCCAGACTGGTCTCAAACTTCTGACCTCGTGATCCGCCCACCTTAGGCTCTAAAAGTGCTGGGATTACAGATGGGAGCCACTGTGCCTGGCCTAATGTGTCTTTTTTTTTTTTTTTTTTTCCTGAGTCAGGGTATCACTCCTGTCACCCAGGCTGGAGTGCAGTGGAGTGTTCACAGCTCACTGCAGCCTCAACTTCCCAGGCTCAAGTGATTCTCCCACCTCAGCCTCCCAAGTAGCTGGGGCTACAGCCTCCCAAGTAGTTGGCACGTGCCGCCACATCCAGCCAATTTTTGTATTGTGTGTGTGTGTGTGTGTGTGTGTGTGTATTTTTTGTAGAGACAGGGTCTCACTATGTGGCCCATTTTGGTCTTAAACTCTTGGTTTCAAGCGATCCACCTGCCTCAGCCTCCCAAAGTGCTGGGATTATAGGTGTAAGCCATCGAACCCAGCCTTTGGTATCTGCACATAAAAAGGGATCTGTGTACATATAATCTTATCCTCCCCCTTCCTGACACCGTCACTGCATGTTGAATACACCGGTGTGCACCCTTATTAATCTTCATTACCAGCTCACTTGGAAGCCTTCTAGGCAGTGTTGTAGAAGCCGAGCCTAATGAACATGACCCTCCGCTTTGGGCTGAAATTGATTCTAGGTGGGGTTGAGAGAGTGTTGAGCAGAGCAGCCTTTTCCTTTGTCTTCTGTGCCCTCTGGGTCATGCTTATTCCCCTCCGTAGCCCAGCCCAGCCACTTGGAGAGGGCTGCCTGGGCAGGAGAGACGGCAGCCCCCAGGGCTGTCCTGAACTTCCTCCTCATCTCTCCCCACAGGCAGTTTCTACACCGGGACGACATTGGCATCATCCTCATCAACCAGTACATTGCAGAGATGGTGCGGCACGCCCTGGACGCCCACCAGCACTCCATCCCAGCTGTCCTGGAGATCCCCTCCAAGGAGCACCCGTATGACGCCGCCAAGGACTCCATCCTGCGCAGGGCCAGGGGCATGTTCACTGCCGAAGACCTTCGCTAGGGGACTCCTCACAGCCCTCAGCCCTTCCCTCGTTTCCAGGCCTCTCCCCAGCCTTGCCATCAGTCTCTTTACATTTTGAGCCTCTGATTTCCAATTCCCGGCCCCTTCCCACTCCATGAAGAGGCTAAGTGAGGCGCTTCTAGGTTGCTGGGGCTCTGCTGTAAAATCAAGGCTGGTGAAAGAACAAGAGCCTGACCATCTTCTGTCCACTACCTCTCCCCTGTGCTGTTACACAGTGTCGTTGTTGATGTTAAATTAAAGTCATATTCTTGCTTCTCTCCGAACTGGGGCTGGGTGCTGGAAAGGACATGTGTGGGTGAGGCTGTGGGGCAGATTTGATTGGCAAGGATGCAAAATGTGCTGCTGGAGACAGGCATGGAAGAGCTGGTCCAGGAAGACTATGCCGGGAGTCAGAACTCAGGGACTGGTCCTCAGATCAGAGACCAGCTCTGGGTGGGGCGGAGTAGGAGGGCTTGAGCCCAGCCCCTGCCTCCACCTTGCTCGCCATTGGGCTGGGAAGGGGGCCCAACACAAAGGACAGAAGCAGAAAGCACCAGAAACCTGGGAGCCTGTGACACCAGATCCCACATGGGCCCCGTGGCGGGTGTGGGGAGCCCGGCTCTTAGCCAGTTGACCTGGGCCCTGGGCTATCTCAGGAAGCCAGGCTTATAAGGTCTGCTGAGGGCATGGCAGGTAGAACCCTGGCCCTGTGTGAGGTGAGGCATGGTTGCCAGGTGACGGTGCCAGGGTAGCCACCCACCATCAGAAGCACTCTGCTTGCTGTGCTCACCCCTCAGCTGTAGCCACCCTGGTGCTGCTCCTTCCCAGCCACCATGGCACGGCAGCTCAACATGGACACGGTGCGGCAGAACTTCTGGAAGGAGGAATATCTGAGGGAAAAGATGTTGCGCTGTGAATGGTACCGCAAGTATGGGTCGATGGTGAAGGCCAAGCAGAAGGCTAAGGCTGCAGCCCGCCTGCCCCTTAAACTGCCCACCCTGTACCCCAAAGCCCCACTCTCACCCCCACCTGCCCCCAAGTCAGCCCCTTCCAAGGCACCCAGCCCTGTCCCAGAGGCTCCTTTTGAGGCAGAAATGTACCCGGTACCACCTGCCACCCGAGCCCTGCTGTATGAAGGCATCTCCCACGACTTCCAGGGGCGCTATCGCTACCTCAACACCCGAAAACTGGACATGCCAGAGACGCGATACCTCTTCCCCATCACCACCAACTTCATGTATGGCTGGCAGCTGGGTGAGCCCAACCTCTTGGAAATTAAGTCACCTCAAAGACGCAGCACCTGCCATGTGCCAGGGAGTGGATATCCTAGTGAAGGACCCAAACCATAAGCAGAGCAAGGAGATGGCCAAGGACACATTCCACAGAACTAGGGAGTCACAGCGGGCAGGGAGGCAGGAGGCATGGGCTGCTATTTATTGGATTGTCAGCAAAGGCCTTTCTGAGGACCTGAGGCTGAAAGCCAGATGATAAGAATGGGTTTGGATTTTATTTGGTGTGCAGGGAAGCCAATGGAGGGTTCTAAGCAGGTTTCAAGAGTGACACTGATGAACTTTTTAAAAAGTCACTGTAGGCCAGGCTCACGCCTGTAATCCCATCACTTTGGGAGTCCAAGGCAGGTGGATCACGAGGTCAGGAGATTGAGACCATCCTGGTTAACACAGTGAAACCCTGTCTCTACTAAAAATACAAAAAATTAGCCGGGCATGGTGGCGCACTCCTGTCCCAGATCCTCAGGAGGCTGAGGCAGGAGAATGGCTTGAAAGTGGGAGGCGGAAGTTGCAGTGAGCCAAGATCATGTCACTGCACTCCAGCCTGGGCAATGGAGTGAAACTCCATCTCAGGAAAAAAAAAAAAAAGTCACCCTGACCTATATGTAGGCAGTGGCTTTTTCAGGGGAAATTGTGGAATCTGGCACGTGAGAGTGGGCATCTGTTTTGTTACCCTGTGGTAGTGGTTTGAGGGATCAGCAATAGAGCTGGAATCAATTCAGGATGTTTTGTAGGAAGACTCAGTGGAACTCACCCACGGATAGAATGTGAGAATAAGGGGAAGAGACATCAATGGTGATGCCTGGGTGTTTAGCTAAAGCTGCAGTGACAGGGAACACTGGAAGTGTGCATGAACAGGTCCTATTTAACCATGCGTGTTTGGCCATGTTATGCTTCAAGTGTCCATAGAATGGCTATATCTGTAAGTCTGGATTGAAATCAGAGCTGAAGATGCAAATTTGCAAATTCGTAGGTCATTTGAATATAGGTGTGTGTGTGTGTGTGTGTGTGTGTGTGTGTGTGTGTGTGAAAGAGAGAGAGAGCGAGAGAGAGATGAAGTCTTGCTCTGTTGCCCAGGCTGTAGTGCATTGGCACGATCTCAGTTCACTGCAACCTCTGCCTCCCGGGTTCAAGCAATTCTCCTGCCTCAGCCTCCTGAGTAGCTGGGACTACAGGTGGGCACCACCATGCCCGGCTAATTTTTGTATTTTTAGTAGAGATAGGGTTTCACAATATTGGCCAGGCTGGTCTCGAACTCCTGACCTCGTTACCTACCCACCTCAGGTTCCCAAAGTGCTGGGATTACAGGCTTGAGCCACTGCCCTTGGCCTATAGGTGCTATTTAAATCCATGAGATCACCTGGAGAGCTCAAGTTGCTGGCATCTGACACGAGTGGGGACAGGCGGGCTGAGCAGAAGCAGGTAGGGGATGGCATTGGCAGGAAGCCTGTCCATCTAGGCCGAGTCTTTTTTCTGTGAGGCTGAGTCAAGGCCATCAGCTGGGAGGATGCCAAGCTCAGGCAGTGTAGTTGGAGATGAAGAGGAAAGGTGTGGAACAGGCCCGTGCCAGAGAGGGTTGCTGGGCGACGTTGCTATCTGCTCATGAATGTCAAGTGAGACTCCCCGGCCCTATGTCCTCCAGCTGCTTGAGTGTCTGGCAGAAAAGGTGGATGGCTGGGGATCAACTCAGCTGAGATTTTACCCCCAAACACCGCTTTCCGCCAGGGCCCTACGGGGGAAGTCAGGGAAGTAACTTTCTAACAAAAGCAGGAGGCAAGCCCTAGAAGTGGGGAGCAGGAGGCAGAAGGAAGCTGCATCTCTCCACAAGTGACAAGCAGGCCTAGGTGGCCCCCCACCTGGCAGGTAGAGGATCCTGAAGCTGGGGTAATGATGGCAGATGGCTGCTGTATCCTGGATCCAATCAGCTCCCAGTATTTGCCCATAGCTCCCACACCTCCAAAGTATTTTCTATTTCTTCCCACAAAGTGGCTACTCCACTGACGGATTCCTAGGGCTGTGCAGACCGACAGGGCTCCCATGCTCTGCTGACCTTCCCTCAGGAACCCACACTTGGCCTCTAACTCTTCCCAGGCCCCCCAGTGAAGCAAGAACTGGTCTCCTGCAAGATGTGCCGCATTGAGTCATTCTTCCGCAAGAACGGGGCCTTCGCGCTACTGGATCCCCGGGACCTGGCCCTCTGACCATCGGCCAGGCATGGGCTTAGGGGAGGGAAGAAAAAATAACAGGTCTCCTGGTGGGGCAAAGCTGCTGTGTGTGACTGCGGCTCTCTGTTCTCTCTGGCCCTGCGGCTGCATTCAGGCGTTTCTGAAACTATCTCTGACCTGCAAGTTGCCCGCTTTTTCCGTAACTCTTTCTCTCTCTTTTTTTAATTTAAATTTTTTTTTTTTTTTTTTTAATTTGAGATGGAATTTTGCTCTTGTTGCCCAAGGCTGGAGTGCAAGGGCGCGGCTCATCGCAACCCCTCCCTTCCAGGTTCACGCGATTCTCCTGCCTCAGCCTCCCAAGTAGCTGGGATTACGGGCATGCGCCACCACGCCCGGCCAGTTTTGTATGTTTAGTAGAGATGGGGTTTCTCCATGTTGGTTAGGCTGGTCTTGAACTCCCGACCTTACATGATCCACCCACCTCGGCCTCCAAAGTGCTGGGATTACTGCGTGAGCCGCTTCAAACCCTCATCTCTTTAATCATCCTTTTGAGGACACAGCAATGACCAGAGGGGTCTGGGAAAGGCAAGCACTACTCTGTAGGCACGGGATCCTCGGCGACAGGGGGCCACAGTAACTCCTGGAAGTTCTGGGTGTTCCTGGGGAGAAAAAGGCCTGTCATCTCGGAGGCCGGGGAAAGCGGACTCCTGCCACCGCCACACCCCTCCCTGCCAGCCCCTCACCTGGCCCCGAGGGCCCGCAGCCTCCCGGTCCTCTCCCGATGCATCCGCTCCACCTGCTCTCGCAGGGCGCGCCGCCGCCCGGCCGCATCCTCCTGGCGGTGCAGAGTGCTGAGCGTCCGAGGCTCAGTGGGACCGGAGGGCAGCAACTGGCATACCCGCCCCTCCCGGCCCGCCCGAGTCACTGCCAGAGTGCGGTGCGCGCACTTCAAAGGGACCCGAGCGCGCCAAGCTCGACCCCAGCCCCGCTCAGGCTCCTTGTGGCCGCTTTCTGGGGGTCTTGCCTGTGAAGGGAGTTGAGCCGCGCTGGGCGGGAGCCCCAGGGGATGCACCCGGCAGTGGCGGTTCCTGGCAATGTGGAGGCATTCCAGGACTTGCAGAGGCGGCCGTCAGCGTCCGACCGCCCTTGGTGCCCCGCCCCAGGCAGGCCCAGATCCCCGCGCGGGGACGCACCCGGAGCCGCTGTTGCTCACGGTCCCGCCGGCGCCGCCGCCTGGCCGCGCTGTGCAGCTCCAGCAGCCTCTGCAGAGCCTCCTCCTGCTGCGCGGCGCTCACGCCCGCTGGCGCCTTGGGCCTGCTGGGGGGCGCCGGCCACGCGGCAGTCGAGGCCTTGGGAAGCTCAGGGCAGCTCCCCCGACCCCGGAGGTCACCCGGAAGCCGAGCCGAGCCCACCTCCCGCTCCCCCGGGCCGGGGCCTGCTCCAGGGCCCTGCAGCCCGTGCGGATCGCGCTCCAGGCCTGGGGGCCCCCAGAGAGCCGCGGGGGACCCCCAGAGAGCCTCGGGGAGCCCCTGCTGCCCGGATACTGCGGCGCGCAGGGTCGCTGGTATCCTGGCCCCGAGACCTGGGAGCCGCCGCCGGGCCGTAAGCCTCGGGCTGGGAAGCGCAGCCCACGCCCCGTCCCGGGCGGCCCCCAGCTTTACCACCGCAGGTGCCGACGTTTGCCTCTCGCCTTTGCTCATGCCCTTCATCAGCTCAGTGGTCCCTCCCCGGAGGTCTGGGCTCTCCCTGCCTACAGGCAGGGAGTCTGTGCTTTCAGGGACCCGCAGGAGTCCTCCGGATGGCTCCGGGGGCCGTCTTCCTCTGGGGGCTGTACAGTGGCCTCTTCGGGAGCCACCCCCCAGGCTCCCGCGATATTGCCTTCCCAAGACGGCAGCATCTTCATTCCCGGACTCTGGGGACTCCCCTTTCCCTGGAACTTCGGACTAAATTCTGTTAGACTCTGAGAAGCACCCCTGTTCTCACCCAGGGGGGCCTCCTCCCTCTGACCCTGAGGAGGCCTCTGGCTCTGGCCCGCGTGTGTCTTCACTTTCTGACTCTTAGGAGCAGCTTTGATCTCAGCCCTGGAGGCCTCCCCTCTATTATGCTGAGGGGTCTCTGCTTTCTGATCCTGAGGGCCCTCCTCTCTCAGACTCTGAGGGGTGTCCATCCTTGGCAGTCTTTGAAGTTCTGCTCTCTCCTGGCCCACGTGTGGCTCCGAGCCCAGCCCTTCAGGAGCGTCTTGGGAAGGCAGGTTTGGGGAGGGCAGGCCCCAAGCCCCAGGGGTCCCCGGGGTGCGTTTTCTTTCCTGGGTCTCAGGCTTTGCCTGGCTCCTCTCTTCCCTCCGGGCCAGGTCCTGGAAAGGAAGAGCACTTTGGGTCCAGGCTTGAGAGGGAACTCCCGGCCGGGGCCACTTCTCAGGGGAACCTGCAGACTCCAGGGGCCAGCTCTTGCCTGATTCCTGAATTCGTTAAAGCCATTTTATGCGATGTGGAAGGTGCTTCAGTGATGAGCCCCACTCACCCCAGCAGCTTCCTCCCAGGCAGGTCCACCCCTGCCATCCCCAACCTGACACCCTTGACATTTCACCTTATACTCTGAGCTGCCTGGCGCCCCAAAGCTCCTGCTGCTGGTGGGGTTCAGCTCTTGTAAGGAGCCTGAGGGAGAAAGACCAGTGTTGGGAGCTCATGTCCCAGCCTCTCACGCACAGTCCACCTAGACTAGAGCCGGGAAGTTTAGGGAGTCCCAGTGCATGACTGGGGATGCCCCAGGGGTGCTGTCTGAACCTCAGGGCTGTTACAGTTCATCAATCAGACAGCCACACATCTATTAGTCAGGTGTGCCTGCCAACAGCCCACCCCATCTTTCTCATCCTCCCAGCCAAGGCAGACCACCCCAAAAGGACCTGCACAGCCTCTTCCTCAAGACCACCACAGGAGGCCTGAGAGTGAGGGGGGCCACAGTGCTGGGCTCCAGGGTCCCTCAGCACCAGCCATGCCCACTTTGTCCTGGTGTGCCCATCAGGCCCAGAGAAGAAACCTGCTCTGGGCATCCTACTTTTTACTCTTATTCAGAAAAACCTTCCTTAGCCTTTTCTTTGTTACTGACAACAAAATCAAAGGACATTTGAGATGAAATTTTAGGCCAGAGCCTGGCCTAAAAACTGCAAGCGTTCATAATTAACAAAAGAAATCTAAAAAAAGAGATGATGTGATATTGCTCCGCTGCAGCTGTGGAGGAAGGAGAGCTGTTCTGCATCCATACAACTAGTGAAAATGGATTTTATAAGCTCTGAAATTGAGAGCTTTCCCAAGAATACTGCATCTTGTTCTCTTGTGCAATATACAGACTTGTGAATATTCATAGCAGTAACCAAATGGGTGCACTCTCTGTGAAATCACATCTTTCGAAGGGTTTTGTGAACAAAGGAGTCTTATAAGACTCCTGGGCCTTTAGGCTGGGTGCGGTGGCTCACGCCTGTAATCCCAGCTCCTTGGGAGGCTGAGGGGGGCAGATCACCTGTGGTTGAGAGTTCAAGACCAATCTGACCAACATAGAGAAACCCTGTCTCTACTAAAAATACAAAAATTGGCTGTGGGTGGTGGCTCACGCTTGTAATCCCAGCTACTCGGGAGGCTGAGGCAGGAGAGTCAGAGTCACTTGAACCTGGGAGGCGGAGGTTGCAGTGAGCTGAGATCGCACCATTGCACTCCAGCCTGGGCAACAAGAGTGAGACTTCATCTCAAACAAACAAACAAACAAAACAACTCCCAGATTTTTATAAATTATTGTCATAAACTGAAAACAACCTCCAACCTCCCACCCCTGTAATTCTCATCTGTTGTCTTACTAGAAACAGTTATTTCTCTGGTAATAACATTATAACTGATATCACCATCTTCTCAAGTTGTAAAATACTTGTAAAAACTTCTCTGTCAATCAGAAAATAATTATTGGCACTTTCCTTCTCTCTTGTGTGCATGATGGAACAACAAAAAGCATATGGCTTTGCTAGAGGTATTATGTAACAAACAGTCTGAGACTCTGTTTCATTTAAATTAATAGGCTCAAGGCTCACAGTATCCATTCCACTGCCTGTTTATTGTCATGCTGTTTCTAGGCTGTGCTCTGAAGACTGGCACCCAGTCTCCATGTTCTTTGTATATCTCCAGTGCCCAGCTGAAGGGTGGCAAATAGGTGGCCTGGAGTTGGTATTCTGTTCCCTTGTCCCTGGGCAGCCAGCGATGCTCCTTCCTGAACTCCCCCTGAACTCCAGTTTAGCATCAGAATCCTACTGGACACAGTGCCTGAGACAGCTGATACCAAACCGGTAGAACTGGCATATCAAATAAAACCTACTTGCCGGGCACGGTGGCTCACGCCTGTAATCCCAACGCTTTGGGAGGCTGAGGGAGGGTGGATCACGAGGTCAGGAGTTTGAGACCAGCCTGGCCAAGGTGGTGAAACCCCATGTCTACTAAAAATACAGAAATTAGCTGGGTGTGGTGGCGGGTGCCTGTAATCCCAGCTACTCGGGAGGCTGAGGCAGGAGAATCGCTTGAACCCAGGAGGGGGAGATTGCAGTGAGCCAAGAGCGTGCCATTGCACTCCAGCCTGGGCGACAAGAGTGAAACTCTGTCTCAAAAAATAATAATAATAATAAAAATTTAGCTGGGTGTGGTGGCATGTGCCTGTAATCCCAGCTACTCAGGAGGCTGAGGCAGGAGAATTGCTTGAACCCAGGAGACAGAAATTGCAGTGAACCGAGATCGCACCACTGCACTCCAGCCTGGGCCACAAAGCAAGATTACGTCTCAAAACAAACAAACAAACAAACAAAACCCACTTGCCATCCCTGGGTGTCCCAGCACTCAATCAGGAAATGTGAGATGAAGAATGAGTGAAGAATGAAGTCCTGGAACTTGGAAGAGGACTTTCCTGCCTTGTCCCAATCCAGTCTGGCTGCCACAGCCCCAGGGGCTCCCTGCCCTCCCGGCTGTCCCACAGTGTACCTCGTGTGAGCTCTGCAGGTCCTCCAGGGCTCTCCCACCCTTGGTCTGCACCACTCCCAGCTTCACCCAGATCTGGGGCTGCTGATGGGTCTCCCTCCTGCCCTCGACAGGAGTTCACGGCCTGCCTCTGATGCACCTCTCTGGGCCCATGGGCTCTGGAATGGGAGGGAGTCTGCCTGCCAGTCTCTCGAGACCCCACCCCCAGCATTCAAACACTGAGTCCTGGGTGGCCACCCCCATTCCCCCCAACCCCATCACCAGATCCTGGGAGCTGGAATTTGGAGGTTAACCTTCCCAGGGGGCTGTGGGGCAACCATGGGTGCAACTAAGAGCCCAGGAGGTATAAGGAGGGGCATGGGGTCGGACTGCAGGAGGTGACAGGGGAAGGGCCCAGTTCTCGGTTACTTTGTGTGGCAACACAGAAGGAAAGGCAGAATTCCCAGGGGAGACTCACCCCTCGAGGAGCTGGTGGTTCTGGCTCAGGGAGTCCCTGTCCTGGGGTAGAGGGTGCAGCCTAGAATTCTGGAAGAGTCGGGAGCACCCTAGTCCACAGGACTCCATCCCCTAGTGTGGCAGGTGGACGCTACGATGGCCCCTAAATGATCCCTGCCTCCTGGAATTCATGTCCTCTGTGACCCCCCTTCCCCTCCACATGAAGGAGCTTGGAGACGGATCCCTCCTGCCCCATTGAGCCTCAGATGAGACCACAGTTCTTGCCAGCAACGTCAGCTGCACCCTTCCTAAGTTGCACCACTTACACCTCCTCCTGCTACAGCTGAGGGTGCCTTGGCCCAGAGAGGGCCACCAACCTGCCCAAAGTGACTCAGGCAGCTGGTGGCACATTCCTAGTTCCCAGCTGGGCCCAGTCACCACAGCACCTCCCTCCTGGGGGCTCAGCCCAGCTGCAGCCCTGGAGGGAGGGGCCAGTGGCTGGGACTGTCAGCGCCTGTGTCTCAGGGGTACCCTGGGAGTCATTGCCTTTGCCCTCTGAGGCCCTGCCAGGCCCCTTTCCCGCTGCGCTGTGGTCACATGGAAAGGCTTCCAGGTATCACCACGAAGGTGATTTGACCAAGACAGTCGGTAACTGTGGAATGAGAATAACGGCTTGCCTGGAGAGAGCAGACCCTGTGTGCCAGGCGTGGCTCCACAAGTCCACTGCTCCTCCTGGTAGCCCTTGGAGAAAAGATCTCTTCTCTTGGTCATTTTCTAGCTGAGAGGAAAAGTAGACTCAGAGCCCACAGGGGGCACCAGTGTAAAGATTTGAACCCAGCCCTGTCTCCAAAACCCTGCCCCTCTGCTTGCTCTCACCACAGGGAGGCCCCAGTGTCCCCAGAACCTCTGCCCCACCATGCCCCCTCACCCACTCACCAGCTGCTCAGGGTCCCCACCCGTGCCACCACCTGGCTGGCGGCACGGGCTCCATGCATGACGGACCTGGCCCCTCGTACCGAATAAGTGGGCCTCGGGTGGCCAGAAGAGGCCCAACCCCATGCCAGTCAGCAGTTCCAAGTCCCACAGAAGCTGCAGGAAGATGAGGTGCCAGGGAGTGAGGGGCACCCACCCTGGCCTCGGCCACAACCCCTGGCCAGCCCCTACCTGCTCCTGGGCCCGCCGGCTCCGCTCCATCTGCAGCAGCACAGGGGGCAGCTCCACACCCAGGGGACGGCCCCAGCCCTTTTGCACCTGGAGGG